TTTGCTAAGCTAATACATGTTCGCTTCCTAATCTTTCATTCTTTTCTCTAACCAAGAATGAAATAAATTCCAAATTTTATAATAGTCTGTATCTTCTTTGTCTTTCAGCCTCATAGTTAGTCTGTCCATCTCTGCACATTCCAATATTTTCGTGATTATTTCTTCTTCTGATGGCAATCCTTCATTCTTCCAGTACTGTGCAAAAATTATTCTTGCTGCTGTGGTAATATGTAGAATTAAATATAATTTCTGCTCATTAATCTTTTCAGACATAATGCCTAGTAAAAAAAGTTCAGGTTTAAAATTCACTTGTTCACCCAATATTTTTTCTAACCACATATGTATGCTTTTCCAATAGGCCTTTGCCTTCCCACATGTCCACCAAATATGATAATATGTGCCTATATTATGTTTACATTTCCAACATCTATCTGACATATTATTAAACATTTTTGCTAATCTTGCTGGTGGAAGGTGCCATCTATAAAACATTTTATACAAATTTTCTTTGCATGAAGTTGACATTGTTCATTTATAGCTTCCCTCCCATAACATTTGCCATTTTTCTAATTCTATATCAACCAAAATTTTTTGCCCATCTTATCATTGTTTCTTTCACTTGTTCACTTTCCATATCTAAAATTAACAAAAAATTATACATTTTCTTAATTAATTTCTCATCCGAGGTTAACAAAATCTTATCAAACACATTTCGATCCTTGTAAAATCCACACATTTTTACATCTTTTTCATATCTACTTTGTATCTGCAAATGTGAGTAGGTCACTTCTCTCAGTGCCACTGCAACTTCAAACAGTACTTCCTACTTCTGTAATGTACTATTTTTTCCAAGCACTAGAATCCAATGATACCACCACAATCTATCAAGATAACATCCAAGGTACTGCAGAGAGAAAGCACCCTACTTTGTAGATTCATAACATGTACCATTTTGGTCAGTGGTGGTGTCATGCCTCCATCAGAGCCTGACTCTGAGGAAGACATGGAGTTCCCTGTTGAGGCCAGGAGGGGGTGTCTGTGGCTTTGGAGGACTGTGGGGAGGAGCAGGCTGAGGCAGGCCAGGGCCCTTCAGGTTTGGAACAGGGAAGGCAGAGCTCAGGCGAGGAGCAAAGCCCCTCCCCACCTTATCCCAGAGCAAGGAGAGCAGAGAGGAGGAGGGAACAACAGAGGCAGGCTCACTTGCTCGGGAGGAGAGCGTCCCGCCCCACTCCACAAGGCACACCTGGGGAGTAGGTATTTAAGGAGACGCTGTGGGGTGGGGCATTTGCAGGGAACAAACATGAAATCTTGAGATAGTGTGCTCTTGTAACCTGGACACTTTGTATTCTGGACCAGTTTGCTTCCTGCTGATCTCGCCTTGCAGTCTGAAGTTTGCATTTGCAGTTCACAGGCAAGCTGGGAGTTAAAAGGATTATACGTTTGCTTGTTATCTGTCTTGCTTTATAGCAGTGGTTCTCAACCTTCCTAATGCCGCGACCCTTTAATACAGTTCCTCATGTTGTGGTGACCCCCACTATAAAATTATTTTCATTGCTACTTCGTAACTGTAATTTTGCTACTGTTATGAATCATAATGTAAATATCTGATATGCAGGGTGCATTTTCATTGTTACGAATTGAACATAATTAAAACATAGTGATTAATCACAAAAACAATATAGCAATGCTCGCTGGAGAAGCTTACTCTTCCTTGCTCAAAAATGTTGGGAGGGAGGGAAGGGGAAGGAAGGAAGGAAGATTGAAGGGAAAAGGAAGGAGATGGAGAAGGAAGGAGATTGAAGGGGGAAGGAAGGAAGGAAGGAAGGAAGGAAGGAAGGAAGGAAGGAAGGAAGGAAGGAAGGAAGGAAGGAAGGAAGGAAGGAAGGAGAGGGAGATTGAAGGGGAAGGGATGGAGTTGGAGATGGAAGGAAGGAAGGAAGATTGGAGGGGAAAGGAAGGAGATTGTTTTCCGATGGTCTTAAGCGACCTCTGTGAAAGCATCGTTCGACCCTCAAAAGGGTCGCGACCCACAGGTTGAGAACCGCTGCTTTATAGGAACAGTGTAAGCTTCCCTGGCTGTTTTGTTTGAACTCGTGCCAGCATATGTGGGGGCTGTTGGGTGAACATTGGCAGTGATTAAAAGACTATTACTTTGGCCAGCTGATTGCTTTGCCTCCGTTCGGGGCCCTGGGTCATCACATGTGGGATTTAGCTGGTTCGCACCACTTCGGCAGAACCGGTAGCTAATTTTTTTGTCGCCCAGGCCCAGAATGGACTTCCGGAAGCGGCATCCCACCACTGCATTTTGTGTGAAGCTGAAGCTCAAATACTCTGGCCACCAAATGAGAAGAGAGGACTCACTGGAAAAGATGCTGACGTTGGAAAAGATGGAAGGCAAAAGGAGAAGAAGAAGAAGACAGAGGATGAGAGGGTGAGGTATTATCATTGACACAACGGACATGAATTTGAGCAAATTCTGGGAGACAGCAGAGGACGGGGTGGTGGCGGATGGCATATTATGATCCATGGGATCACCAAGAGTTGGACATGACATAGTGACTGAACAACAACCAAACATTTTGTATGAACTTTAATAATTTTAATGTTTTGACCCTTGCCAGATGTCCTCGAAACCTGCTGGGGCTGCAACTCCCAGAATCTCCCACCAGCTTGGAGGTTGCAGTCCAAACCTACCTGGAAAGCATCAGGTTGAGGACAGGAGATCAAGTACACAAATATGCATAGGAAGGAAACAGGCATTTGTACCCATAGCTTAATCTTTAAGTTACAGAAAAAGATTGCATCAAATATCTTATCATCATCACCACCACCACCAGCAGCACCATCCTAGTATTTTTCGCACAGCTGCGGGGTCCACTTGCGTCAAAACTCTGCTCATTTCCAAACTAAGGATTGTCAATAGGATCCAATGATGTAGCACACAAGAGATCTGATAGAGATACACTAGCCACCGTAAAGAGCAATAGGATGAACCTTAGAAACCCCACAGCAAAGTTCTCCAGATGTTACTAAGCTCCACTATGCATCATCCCCAACCCATATGATGAAGGATGATGGAGTTGGGCATCAAACCCCATCCGAAGGGCCACAAGTTGTTCATGTTTGCTTTATATAGCCAGCATCTACAACAAGAAAAGGGATGATGGTTCTGTACTGATTAATAAGGACAAACCAAGGATATCCCCCTGCAATCACAGCTCCCACTTAAAGAACAGGTAGACACCATGCCCAGGAAGTCTTCACCACAGCTTCAGTTGGTGCACCAGCTGCAGTCTTACCTGGAGCAGGATACACTGATGCCTGCTCTTTCCACCTCTTGATCTAATTAAAGTTACTCACCCTTGAAGATCACCTGGAAACTTTAGGATGCAACAGCAAAGATGCTTAGTGGCTGGTCTCAATACTGCCCCATTAATGCCCGTTCTACATGAATCACTAGCAGGTTTCCAAGTGCAATTCAAAACGTTGCTACTACAGAACCTCCATGTCAGGGGGGGTCCAACCTTGGCAATTTTAAGAACTGTGGACCGCAACTCCCAAAATTCCCCAGCAGGCAAAGTTTCTCCAGCACAGTGGTTCTCAACCTGTGGGTCGGGACCCCATTTGGGGTCGAACGACCATTTCACGGGGGTCATTAAACAAAGCTGTCCTCCATTTTTTCCCCTTTTCTTTGGCCACGCCCCTGGCACCCGGTGATGTATAAGTGGTTGGGGGTCACCACAACATGGGGAACTGTATTATGGGGTCGCGGCATTAGAAAGGTTGAGAACCACTGCTCCAGCAGGATACCTCTGCTCGAGGTAGGACTGGATCTCTTAGAGCAGGGGTTCTCAACCTTGGCAACGTTAAGACTTGTGGACTTCAACTCCCAGAATTCCTCAGCCAGCAAAGCTGTTGAAGTCCACAAGTCCACAAGTCTTAGCGTTGCCAAGGTTGAGAACCCCTGTCTTAGAGACTTTTCCCAATTTCCATCACTCTTAACCTGAAAAATAGGGGGGAACCTGCCAAGAATCCATGTCTACCACAAAACAAGGTGTGAAGAGACTTGAGGATGAGTATTCTCTGTAGCAGACCCCTGTTCTCAACCGGACTGCACCCCAAGAGTGCATGAACTCCATCCTTATTTCCTTCCAGAAAATGTGGGAAAACGTGGTTTTGGGGGACGACATAATGTGATGCCATTTCTTAATGTTTAGTCTCGCATTTGAATCCTCATTTAATTTTGATTTGTATCTTGTTCTTCATGCTCCGTTTTCATACAAAGACACAAAGAGTTTGGCTGGTTTCAGCCAGTTAGATAAATATTAAAAGATTGCCGTGAACCTAGCTTAGGAACCGGGAAGCTTATTCTCTTCTTGACAATATCTCTTCACCTAATTACGTCCTTTCCCTGCAAAACAATGCTTCTGTAGAGAATAGGAACAAAACCTGTGGCCGATACAAGATTTGTCAAAGCTTAACCACACTCAAAACGGTTACAATTTCTACAGGCAGTCCTCGACGTACGACCACAAACCGAGCTCAAAATTTCTGTCGCTGAGTGAGATAGTTGTTAAGTGAATTTTGCTCCCCCCCCTTTTATGACCTTGCTTGCCAGAGATGTTAAATGAATCGCGGCAATTGTTAAGTTAGCAACAGGGTTGTTAAGTGAATCTGGCTTCCCCATTGACTTTCCTTGTCAGAAGGTTGCAAAAGGGAATCACATGACCCCGAGAAACACTGCAACCGCCATAAGTACATGCCAGTTGCCAAGCGTCTGAATTTTGAACACATGGGGATATTTCAATGGCCGTAAGTGTGAAAAAAATGGTCCTGGGCCATTTTTTTCCCCAGCACCGTTATAACTTCAAATGGTCACTAAATGGATGGCTGCAAGTTGAGGACTACCTGTTACATCATTCTCATCAGACAAGACATGCCTCTATTCTTGGTGTTTTAATTTATGTCAGAGATTACGGTCACGACGGAGCTTTACTGACCTTCAGAGGAGAGATGTGCGACTGTAGGACATATCCATGGACATTTTCTATCTGCGACAAGTTCTTTTCAGAAATGTGGACTAATTCTGGACCTCTCATTTCATGGGTTAAACGAGGTAAAGTATGGTCATGTGGAGCATCCTCATCTTGGTAATGATACTTCTGGAAGATAGAAAGGGGGAGGGGAACTATGAAGGAACTGGGAGAAGTAAAAATTGCATGTTGATCGTTACACGGTAGCTGTAAGGTCCTGCCTCAGCTAACTCCCCAGGAAAGCATGACTCTTGAAACGAGCGTTATTTCAAAAAGGATCTTTTACTGAAAGAAAGTGATTGCAGGGAGCTCAGGCAGAATCTGAAGTTCCTGCGCATGAAGTTGTTGTGAGAATTCTGAGCCGATAAGGCAGTGTTTCCCAAACTTGACAATTTTAAGGCATGAGGACTTCAACTCCCAGAATTCCACAGCCAGCAACGCTGGCTGTGGAATTCTGGGAGTTGAAGTCCACATGCCTTAAAATTGTCAAGTTTGGGAAACACTGCGATAAGGTGATCACAAGTTGTTCTCCGGTGCCACAGTTTTGGTGACGGGTGTGAGCTGGCCGGAAAGGACTCAAGCCAGATGGCCTTTAAGGGCTTATCCCCCCTTCCCCAGTTCCCATGTGGATACATCAAAGCGAAAACAGAAACAAGAGAGAAACCTCTTCAATTCCCAAGTAGCACTTCCCTCTCCCCTCAGAATGGCAGAGTTCCAGTAGGGACCTCACTGTAGCTTCAAAAAGGACTTTTTAAGTTGTTAAAAAAAAAAAACCAATTAGGAATCCCACCACCAGTGAGGAATAAAACTGCTACCAATGCAGATGCACTTTATTGAGTAACGTTGTTCTTTTAGCAACAGCGCTTAGACCAGGGGTTCCCAACCGAGGCGTGCGAGACGATATTCCGGGGGTGCGAAAACTTGTTTTTTCAAAATTATAGTGTATATGCATAATTCACTGCTGTTATTTCGAACTTTTGTAGGGGTGCGAGAATATATCAGAAGCGTTTTAGGGGTGCGGAGTATAGAAAACTTAGGGAGCTGCTGACTTAGACTTATATATCACTTCACAGTGCTTTACAGCCCTTTCTAAGCAGTTTACAGTGGCAGCATATTTGCCCCCAACAATCTGGGTCCTTATTTTACTGACCTTGGAAGGATGGAAGGCTGAGTCAACCTTAAACTAGTCAGAATCAAACTCATGGCTGTGGGCAGAGTTTGCCTGCAAGGCTGCATTCTAATCATTGCACAGCTCTTTCCTTCCTTCCTTCCTTCCTTCCTTCCTTCCTTCCTTCCTTCCTTCCTTCCTTCCTTCCTTCCTTCGCAATAACACTTAAACTTATATTCCACTTCACAGCGCTTTACAGCCCCCTCTAAGTGGTTTATTTGCCCCCCAACAATCTGGGTCCTCGTTTTTACCAACCTCAGAAGGATGGAAGGCTGAGCCAATCTTGAACCAGTCAGGATCGAACTCCTGGCAGTGAACAGAATCAGCCTACAACAGCGGTGGCGAACCTATGGCATGCGTGCCAGAGGTGGCACTCAGAGCCCTCTCTGTGGACACGCACATCATGCCCAGAGATGGCAACCGTCGCTCTTCAACTAGCCGCCCGCTAACTCTCCAAGGTCCCACGTGGCTGGATGCATCCTAGCACCCATGCGCTCGCTAGCCTGTGTGTGCAGGGGCCGATGGTGTCAGGCAGCAGCCGTCCCAGCCCCTGCCTCGCCTTGCCCTGCGACAATGGCACCCCCGTCCTGCCTCGCCTTGCCTCACCCTGCAGGACGAGCCTCCTTCCCACCGCCCCACCTGCCAGAGACCCCCTGGATCTCCCCAACCCTGCCCGGCCTCCACAGGCGTCCCTCCCCACGAGCAACATTAAGGTGATGATGCCCACCTTGGCCACACCCACACAATCTGCCATGACCACCATAGCCACGCCCACCCAGTGGGCCATGCCCACCTGAAACCCATCAATAAATAAGTGGATTTTGGTTGCACTTTGGGCACTTGGTCTCTAAAAGGTTCGCCATCACTGGCCTACAATATTAACCCCTGTGCCACCATGGCTCCTATTTATATCAATAGCAATACCACTTATTGTCCCCAGCAGTCTCGGTCCTCCCAGACTGAGTCAACCTTGAGCCAGTCAGGAACGAACTGCTGGCTCTGGGCAGAGTTAGCCTGCAATACTGCATTCTAGCCGCTGTGCCACCACGGCTCCTTTAACAATTGTTCTGGATTGTATGGTCAATTATTGCTGTCACCAACAGGACCCATGAGAAAAGGACAACTCTAAATGCAGCATCCAGGTCAAATATACGGGGTACCTTGCTCAATAGTAGTAACCTCGGAGTCCTAGTGGACAATCACTTAAATATGAGCCAGCCATGTGCTGCAACTGCCAAAAAGGCCAACACAGTGCTAGGCTGCATTAACAGAGGGATAGAATCAAGATCACGTGAAGTATTAATACCACTTTACAATGCCTTGGTAAGGCCACACTTGGAATACTGCATCCAGTTTTGGTCACCGCGATGTAAAAAAGATGTTGAGACTCTGGAGGGAGTGCAATAAGGATGATCAGGGGACTGGAGGCTAAAACATATAAGGACCGGTTGCTGGAATTGGGTATGTCTAGTTTAATGAAGAGAAGGAGGAGGGAGGACATGATAGCAGTGTTCCAGTATCTCAGGGGCTGCCCCAAAGAAGAGGGAGTCAAGCTATTCTCCAAAGCGCCTGAAGGCAGGACAAGAAGCAATGGGTGGAAACTAATCTAGGAGAGAAGCAACCTAGAACTAAGGAGAAACTTTCTGACAGTGAGAACAATTAACCAGTGGAACAGCCTGCCTCCAGAAGCGGTGAATACTCCAACACTGGAAGTTTTTAAGAAGAGACTGGACAGCCATTTGTCCGAAATGGTATAGGGTTTCCTGCCTGAGCAGGGGGTTGGACTAGATGACCTCCAAGGTCCTATCCAACTTTATTACTATTACTATTAATATTACTATTACTATCTTTTCCTTTAGCATGTTAGTTCAAGGCCTGTGTTGAGACAAGCCAACCTTTCCCCATAATTAGCTGCAGTTGCCCTTCTATGTACACGCCTGTGCATGCACACACGTTAGCGCTCACAACTTCACAAAAGAACAGGTGGAGAATAAATGATAATTACAAATCAATGCCTACTACAAACAGGGCATCGTGCACTGCCAGCGAAAACAGATAATTTTAAAACCCTCTATAATTAACTCTAATAGTGCAGCACAGATTGTTCTACTGTGTGCACTTCACGGAATGTAGCCATTCTTGAAACCAAACTTCCTCACCAGAAGCAAAGCAAAACAAGAAGCCCAAAACCAACTCTTATTTGTGCAAAATCGTTAAACAGAAGCTGCCATGTCGCAACCCGGCTCCCCCGCTTTGGAGCTGATTATTATTATTATTATTATTATTATTATTATTATTATTATTATTACTCGCGTATGCATCTGCATTTATAAAAAGGTAGAAAAAAAGGAGGATAAAGCTTATCTGAATGTGGCTCAGTTTTAAAAATTAGCTTTTTTTTTTGAGAAAAATATACCCATCGTCTCCTGCCACGAATTTTGCGGCGCCAAACACAATATTGCCTCTGATAGTGAGGAAGAATGAATAATGAGGAAATAGAATGAAAAACATGGCATTGGGATAGGGAGGAAATGTATTTAGAATTCATTGGGAAAGTAGAAAGGTTTAGCAAGATTTTATTTATTTATGTATTTATTTAACTTATATGCTGCAACTCACCAAAGGCAGCTCGAGGCAATTTACAATCGATCCGTAAAAATGCCATGTAAAATATTAAGAGAGTAAAAACCGTAACTTTAAAATTAAATTACCTATATTAAATTTAAAATTTAAATTTAAAAGATCCATTTGTAACTGTCGATTTACAGTTTCCGCTGGAATTGGAGATAGGATTTATATATTCAGTGACCATCCTATGCAAATTTTCTTTTTGAGAGCTTCAAGTCACCCATGAAACTCAGATTGAATTACAAATAATGCCTAATAATGATGATAGATAGATATGGATGGATAGGTAGGTAGATAGATAGATAGATAGATAGTTAGATAGATAGATAGATAGATAGATAGATAGATAGATAGATAGATAGATAGATAGATAGATTATGATAGAGTATTAGATAGATAGATAGATAGATAGATAGATAGATAGATAGATGGATGGATGGATGGATGGATGGATGGATGGATGGATAGATAGATAGATTATGATTGATTGATAGAGAGAGGGATTATGATAGACAGACAGACAGATAGATAGATTATGATTGATAGATAGATAGATAGATAGATAGATAGATAGATAGACAGACAGACAGAGGAGAAAGAGGGGTGATACATAGAGGAGAGAGATGATATAGAATGTGTGTGTGTGTGTGTGCGTGTGTGTGTGTGAGAGAGAGAGAGAGAGAGAGAGAGTGAGAGAGAGCAAGCAGTTAAAGACGCTCAGCTTGGAGAGCTCAGCCTGGGTTCGAAACCCCAGCTCCCTGCAACAGGGTGAGCTCCCATCCTTTTCCCAGCTCCTGCCCACCTAGCAGTTTGAAAGCATGCAAATGCGAGTAGATAAATAGGTACCACATCGGTGGAAAGATAATAGCATTCCATGCACCTTTGTCATATAGCCGTGCTGGCCACATGACCACGGAAATTGTCTTTGGACAATGCTGGCTCCCTTGGCCAAGAAACACAAATGAGCACCGTGCCCTAGAATTGGACATGCGTATATGTATGTCCGAAGAGAATTTCCATGGTCATGTGGCCAGCATAACTATACCACTTTACAATGCCTTAGTAAGACCACACTTGGAATACTGCATCCAGTTTTGGTCACCACAATATAAAAAAGTTGTTAAGACTCTAGAAAGAGTACAGAGAAGAGCAACAAAGATGATCAGGGGACTGGAGGGTAAAACATACAAGGAACGGTTGCTGGAATTGGGAATGTCTAGTTTAATGAAGAGAAGGACGAGGGGGGACATGATAGCAATGTTCTAATATCTCAGGGGCTGCCCTAAAGAAGAGGGAGTCAAGCTATTCTCCAAAGCGCCTGAGGGCAGGACAA